TAGAGGTGTTCCATTAACCCCAAAAGAGAAGGAAACCATGCTAGACATCCTCACACCACCTCCTCCACAAGGTATCACTCCTTCCTCTTGGTGGAAAAGGTGGCGAAGTCAGTGATATTACCTGATAATTGTATCTCCATCTGAATATGCAAGCAACATTGCATCTGGCACTGAAGTACAACCATGTCTAACTTTTAGTGACAAGAATCTACTCATTTATATCAGTAGATGCTCCATTCAAATAATTTTGATTGTTCAATTTTAATTTTGTTCCCAAGCAACGATCCTTAATCAAGATCATGACTGTAAATTAAAATATATATCAAGGGATATTTTCTTATAATATGTCCATACTTTATCGTTATATTTGTAACAACTAACAAGTTTTTAACGAAACATACTCTGCCAATCAAACGTCGGCCTCATGGATGGGCCAAGGCTTTGCAATCTTGAGGTTGGGCATCAACTAATCGAACACATTACAAGATTACGGAATGTGAGAAATGTTAAGCATCAATACATACATATATATATATAGAGGAATGATTCATTTATATATAATTTTTACATATTATACTTGTATAAAATTTTAATTAATTAATTTTTTATTTTTAATAGTTGAAATTTATCATTTTTTTAGTTAAAAAATATAATTATCTTTAATAAATATAAATAAATTTTAACTACTAAAAATAAAAAAATAAATAATTAAAATTTTATATTAATATAATGTATAAAATGTATATATAAATAAATCATTCCTTTATATATATATATATATTCTCCTTTAATTTTTTTTCTAGATAATTAGATTAGTATGACACTGCTATATCTAATGTGATTATACATTGGAAAATGTCTACATCACTCTATTAAATAGTCCAACTCACTGCACTTGGACCTTTAGGTCCAGTGACATCAGGCCACGTATAAGTGTAATTTTTTTTTTTTTTCAAGGCAACGGATCAAATCTAATCCCTTGTAAATTTGATCAAAAAAATAAAAAAGTTCCAAGTCACTGAGATAATGGGAGACAAGTTTTATTTTATTTTATTTTATTACATATACTCCCTCCACTTATATACATACAACTTAAACTAATGAAGTCTTAGTTTCACTTGTCAGAAGAGACTGTTTGTAAAATGTGCCACATAAGTCATTGGTACACAGCTTCTGTTTTTCTATTATTTTCTTTCAAAGTTTCTATTTTTTGAGCAAGTTTCTAATCTTGGGTAAAATAAAACTGATTTTAATAATAAATAACTTAAACCTAACTTTAAAAAACTTTCAATATTTATTTTTATAAGGTCAGATATATACGGAGGAGGTCTATCTTCATCACAATCTCCATTAAGATTCATGTAACACCCACTACAAGAAAATCCACATTTAGTGACTAAATTATTGATAATTAAATCTTTATTTTTCGTCATAAATTATTAATAGTAATAAAATTTAAACAGTTAGTCAACCCCTTGTCACTAATGCTTTTAGTGACAAATTAAGTATCTGTCACATAAAATAATTTGATAGTAATAGAAAAAATTGACATTGTTAACAAGTTATTTATAACAATTCTATTCGTCACAAAAAAATATTCGTCATAAATGTAATTATGATGCAAAATTTAGTCATTAATTATTAAAATTGATATTAAATAAAAAATATATTTATATAATTACAACACAAATATTTTAACAAAAATTTTGTCACAAAAAAATAATATATAACTTTATCACAAAAGTTTAATAAAAATATTATTATTTCAATACTAATCAATTTTAAGTAAAATTAAGCCCGATTAAAATTAATCAAGCCTAAACTAATCTCAAGTTTTATTGAGTTTCACATGTTTTATAGTGTAAAAATTTATTTTCTTAAATATTTTTTATCGATGTGGGATATATTTACAATGCAAAACCTTATTTTCTTATGTGTTTTTTATCGATGTGAGATGCATTGATTAGAGAAAATTAATAGTTTTTAGTGACGAAATATATTTTTTAGTAATAAATTATTTGGTCATCATTGAATGTGTAAGGTATATGTGATCAATATTAGAAATTTGTCATAATTGTAATGCATTATAGTGATGATTTTTATCGATAAAAACTTATTTTATCTCAATGAACGTTTTTCGATGACGAAATATATTTTTTATGATGAATTTTTTTGTTCATCATTAAATATGTATGCATCTGTGACTAATTTTTTAAATTTATCATAATTATGATAAGTTATAGTGATGATTTCAAAATTTATCACACATTTCTGCCACAATTATGACAATTATGACACATTCATCATAAAAAATTATGACAATTATCTACAAGAAAAATGTTTTTTAGTGACAGAAATTTGTGATGAATTTTGAAATTATCACTATAATTTATTACAATTATGACAGATCTAAAAAAATTAGTCACAGATGTATACATATTTAATGATGAACAAAAAAATTCATCATAAAAAATATATTTCCTCACCGAAAAATATTCATAGAGATAAAATAAGTTTTTGTCGATAAAAATCATCATTATAATACATTACAATTATGACAAAATTCTAATATTGGTCATATATACCTTATATGTTCAATGTTAACCAAATAATTTATTACTAAAAATATATTTCGTCACTAAAAACTATCAATTTTCTCTAATCAATGCATCTTACATCGATAAAAAACACATAAAAAAAAAAGTTTTGTACTATAAATATATCCCACATCGATAAGAAATATTTTAAAAAATAAATTTTTGCACTGTAAAATATGTGAAACTCAATAAAACTTGAGATTAGTTTGGACTGATTAATTTTAATCAGGCTTGATTAATTTTAATCAAAATTGATTAGTATTGAAATAATAATATTTTTTTATTAAACTTTTGTGATAAATTTATATTTTTTTTGTGACAAAATTTTTGTTAAAATATTTGTGTTGTAATTATATAAATATTTTTTTATTTAATATCAATTTTAATAATTAATGACTAAATTTTACATCATAATTGCATTTGTGACGAATATTTTTTTGTGACGAATAAAATTGTTATAAATAACTTGTTAACAATATCAATTTTTTCTATCACAATAAAATTATTTTCTGTGATAGATGCTTAATTTATCACTAAGAGCATTAGTGACAAAGGTTTTACTAATGGTTTAAATTTTATCACTAATAATAATTTGTGACAAAAAATAAAGATTTAATGATCAATAATTTAATCACTAAATGTAAATTTTCTTTATATAAAGGATGACTTGAGCATGAAATTTGAAGATACAGACACCTTATATTCATTGTAAGGAAAATTACTATTGCCCACTTTGAATCAACATACTGCTTGCCAAATGACTAATTTGAAATACATTTCACATAAAGGATGACTTGAGCGTGAAATTTGAAGGTGCGGGACCCATTATTATTTAGAATTACAAATTTATGCTCTAATTTGATTTTAAGTCAAGATTTAGGGACTAGCCATGAAATAAGGCCAAGCGAAGCGAATATATAAACCCGGCAGTAATCACTAAAACGCAAAACCTCAGCCGGAGCAGAAGTCACAGTTGTTTCTCTTTTCAGTTTGATATTTCTGCGATTTGCACGTCTGACTAATAAGCTCTTTCTTTATACGAGTGATTTTCTTTTCTTTTTAAACCTATTGTTGTGTGAATTTCCTTGAATCATACTTGATCTCGAATGCATTGTGTTATGTAATAAAGATGTAAAATTTCTCTTAAGTTATATACTTTGTTTGATTCTACACCTTGAAATGTGATACGTACGTAAGAAGAAATTATGTGATGGGTTATGAAGAAATTATGTCATGGTCTATGAAGAAATGTATTCTTGTCTGGAAGGGTACTTAAATCCGGGTTACTTCTGAGTTTTAATTGGATACTAATATGACTGCCTATTGTTTGATGAAATGCCTCAGTGAACCATGCCCCCTTAATAGAACCTAAGTCTGGGCTCTGGGTGAACATAATTTATATTCTTTTCCCTTTAAAATGGGATCAGAATAAGATTACCCTTATCTAGGTCCTATACAGAAAATAAGAAGTCATCTTACAATTTTTTTTCTTTTGTACTAAACCTCCGATATCCAAAAGCGACAACACTTGTCTTTCTAGGTATAAGACTTGAACTTGAGATTTTATTTAAGAAGAACAGAAGTTCTAATCAGATCGACAGATCATTGGTGAAGTCATCTTGCAATTGAATATACTTGGTCAAATCCATTAAGTATTTGGTATTGTTTATAATATGAGATATACTTAAGAAGACTACTGGATTCAGATGGTAATTGGCAGGTTGGAGCCATGGCCATCTTATTTGACCGTGTAGGAGGCGCTGCCATTCACATCACCACAGTTGGCCATATCAATATTATCCTTGATTTCACCACTTCATACCATTCAACTTCCAAGATTCAAGTCAGTATAGTACTCTTCAAATTTGGGAACATATTTTTGAATATACATACAGTCAGGTAATAAAGTTGATTTGATGTTCATTAGGAAATGTTTCATTGGTCAAGAATTTGAGTCTTTGTATTAAAGATCTCAAGTTTGAATTTTGAGATGAGTGGGAAGAGTTTGGGAAGGGAGGGTTATTTTTTGTTGCATAATCCATCATTGATGTACCAAAAAAAAAAAAAAAAGAAAGGTTGATTTGATATATAGCGGGATGAAATGGGTATAGAGGCAAAGGTTGCAGGGAACAGGGGAAAGACTTGCTTCAGTGGTGGTGGAAGTCAGAAACAAGAAAAATCGGCAGCTTATTGCACTGGACAAACAGTGGGCGATTTTAGTTAGTTTGACATCACTCAAAAGCAACAGTAAGCTTTGAGATTTTCATCTTTCAGGGACTAGGCTAGAAAAAAAAAACATGAAATCAGAGACGCGAGGCTCAAGATCAAGAGCGATGGAATCTAAAAAAAAAATGTTTACAAAAAAACCAATAAAATATCCAATAAAATATGCTTGATAAGATAAATGTAACAAATAACATTTCATTTATACAATATGCTCTGATGTCTACATTTCAGCCAACTGAGATAATTCAGCCAACTGAGACGATTCAGCCAACTGAGACGATTCAGCCAACTGAGACGATCCAGCCAACTGAGACAATTCAGCCGACTGAGCTCCATTTTCCTCGGATTTTTTAAGAGGACCATACTTCCTAATGCAAATGATGTAATAAAAGATATTTACGAAGCTTATTGCAGCTACTTCCCAGTAGAAATAGCGCAAAGGAGCTTTTCTCATGTCATTGGAGGTCATTTCTTTCCCCCGTTTTGTGGCTAGATCAGACGCTGCTGTTAGTAGAACCCCAGACAGCCAATTAGCCACCGTCATTCCTTGCACCAGCAAGGTAACAGTGACGCTTGTCATGGTTTTTGGCAATTCAGAATAGAAGAACTCTGTTTGCCCTGCAGCAGTTAAACCTTGAGCTAATCCATGCAGACAATACTGTGGCAAAAGCCACATTGCAGACATATTCTCATTTTGGGCAGCTTTGTTTTGTCTAACGCTCTCAATAATGGCAGAAATTATCATTGCCACACATGAAAGTGAAAGGCCTATTCCCATTCTTATTTTCACACAGAGCCGCACTGGTTCACCCTTGATCTTCGAGGCCAAGGGGAGAATCACACGGTCATATAGAACACCCCATATCAACATTGTGCTAACGCCAATTATCGGAAATGCAGCTTGTGACATGTCAAATTTATGGGAATGTTGCCTCTTCATTGAATTAGCCTGTAGCAACTTGAATGTGAGTTGGCTTGCATTCACCCACATCATGATTCCTGCGCTCCATATTGGTAAGACCCTTAGGAGTGCTTTCAGTTCCTCCACTTGCTCTATAGTGCAAAGCCTCCAAGGGTTGGCAGCTGAGCCATCAGGGGCTACATCTTCTTCAGGATTTATTATTAAGCAAGCCTTGTTAAAGAATCTAAGAGAAGAATAGAAAAAGAATAAGTTGGTAAAAATATTCAAGTAAAGCATAAAAATGCCATATCAGTTAGGCCATGCGAAGATACCTTAGGTTGTCTGATGGCATGACGATGTTTGAGTCGTTCTCGGAAAGGTAACATCCGCTTGCGTCTGGATCAGGAAATGGGAGGTCTCTGTTCCTGAACGTAGCCACAATCACTTGGGCAATGCGGGTAAACAAGCCTTTCTTTTCCGGTTTCTCCTTGAAGTAGAGAGGGGAGCAAACGAAAAATATAGTAACAAAGACGAAAATAAAAATGGTTGGGACTCCTAAGCCCACTTTCCATCCATATCTATCTAACATTTGGGCTGTCGCTGTGAAAGCAATTATTATAGTAAGGAAGTATGCTGCAAAGTAGAACATAAAAAATTTCTCCAAGATCCTCATCCTCCGAGGTTCTGAATTTCTTGTTGATTGGATTTGGTCTGCCCCGAACGCGACGGAGCACCTGACACCAACTCCAATTGAAATCAAAGGAAGGGAAGCGTATAGAAGAATAAATTCAATGACTCGAAGACTCAATTCTGCAGCTGTTGGGGGTCTGCAGCTTTGATTTAGAGGATTGCAATGGACCCATTCTGAATCTGGAATCATCGCTGTAATCCATAAGAAAAACATCCCCTGTACAATTCAAAATTCAACATGATTTCCTTGAAATAAGTATCGGCAATGCAGTCAGTGGTGCAAAGCATAAGTGCATAAATTTAATACCTCAAGCAAATTAAGAAAACATATTATATTCTGGTGCAAGGGATATTACTGATGCAGTCCTACTGCAGAAAGAATTACCTTTTTCAAGTATGATAACTTGTAACAAATAAATAAATGGATGGATGGATATATGGATGACAAACTCATTAGAGAAAATGTAATCTCCACAAGATGTGATAAAACCCATGTGATTCCTAAGTTTATGTTTAACAACAACTTCTCAATATTTTAACTTTTGATTTTTTTTTAATTATTTTTTAAATACTAGGCTTCAAATCTGCACTGCGTTTGGTTCATTTACATTATTCTTTTAGTAATTATTAAACTGAGAAAGAATTTTATAGTTTGAACGGTAAAATAATAACTTTTGGGTGGAAGAGAATCCTTAATATTGAAAGTTTTTTTCCATCCAAGGATTTTTATTTTATGATATAAAATAGTCTACCTTGTAAAACAGTGAACTCTTATTAAATATAATAATATTAACTCATAATTGAAATCAATTATTTAATGAGAACTGATGTTCTTCTATTTAAACTAACAATTCATTGGTTGGAATTAATTTTTAATTAATGAATATAAAAGTAATTTTAAACATATATTAATTTCTTATAAGAAGATATTTGATTTTCATATCAATTAGAATTTTATAAAATAAACACAGTACAATAGTACATCAAATGTTCATTAATTTTTTTTTTATCTTTGTAACTATAATTATTACTATTATATATATATATCTTTTTTACGCAAAATCTTCCCCTTTCTTTGAATGCTCATATTAGAAGGTCTTTTTTTTTTTTTTTTTTTTTGGATCGATCCATATCAGAAGGTTTTAATTCAAACACATAAAAAGATATAACTCATTAACATTATTTTTGTGATATTTTTTCATTTACCTATACTCCATATATAGTTCATTAATTTTTATTACGACACTATCTCCTAACTTACCCTCACATATTTTATATTATATTTATATATCTACTTATATACACTCTCACTTTCTCTCTCTATATTAATAATTTATTTATTATTATTCTTGTTTATCTTATACTCCCACTATATTATTCTTTTTTAGTCACTTATTACACTCTCGCATTACTTTTTCTTGTAACACTATATTTTAACTCAATTTTTCACATTTTCTCTCTATATTTATCACTCAAAACTATATTCACCTTTACTTTTTTTTTAATATTAATAATTTATTTGTTATTATTTTTTTTCTATATTATAAATTTTTTTATTATTCTTTCTCTCCTTATCTTCTACTCTCTATTATTATTTCTTAGTCACCTTTTGCAGCTTTATTTATCGTTATCTATCTTTTTAAGCAATTTTCCTTTTTTTTTTTTAACTTATCATTATATATTTTTATATTTTCTCTATATTACAATACAAAAAAAATCCCCAATTACGATGCCAAAAAAAGGCATTTTTAGCGCTTTTTTGTGCCGAAAACAATTTTAGTGTTGAAAGACCGTCGTAATAGAGGGTGCTGCAAATATTATTTTCAATGCTATCAAAGTGCTAAAAAGTATTAATTCCGTTGAAAAAATGTCCAGTTAAAAATACATTTTTTTTAGGTTTATTCCATTTTTTTAAACTGAAATTTTATTACTTATATATGTTTTTTATAAATAAATAATAAAACAATTAAGTTTAAAAATTTAAATTAACTATATGAAAGGGCCAAAAGTAAATTAAATAAAAAACCATAAAGATTCTCAAGCCCGACTAAATTATAATTTAATAAGCAAGAATTTCTATTTATAATCATTATTCCCTTATTCCTAGAATAATAGAATATTTAAGAATTAATTTATTGAGTACTACTTGTTTGTGATTCCAAAGTATTTCTATTTATTCCCTTATTCCCTTATAAGCTCACATGGCATTCGTTTGTGACTCGAAAGTATTTTTTTAGGACTAAAGTCACTACTTGTTTCTTTTCTTATCAGGTCAAGGTTAATATTTATTCTTATCAGTCATTACTTGCTATGGAATTGAATTTGAAGGTATTTATTTGATATATTTAATCTATTTAATAAAAATTCCATAAACACATGCTAGTAATTAAAATCTTGAGAATCCATAAAAGAATTTCTTTTTTGAGCATATTAGAAATAACAATTTGTTTCTAATATTTCAGGGCATATATTTATCTTAGGTAATGATAAGAATTCGTGGCATAGAATTTGAATATTTCAAGGTATTATATTCGATAAGTATTTGGATATAATTAGAGTTAATTGTGTTTTAAACTCTTAAGTTTTCTTTAAAAGAAGTCTGTTGGGTATTTATTTACAATTTTATGAGTATTTTTAAAGGATTTATTAAAGATTTTGAAGAAATTTATTGAAGATTTTTAAAGGCCCATTGAGTATTTATTTGAAATTTATTGATAATTTTAATATTTTTTATAAATATAGTAAGATATAAGATATTAATTAAATAAATATTAAATATATTGAATACTGTATATTTTATATATTTTTAGGATATTAAAAAAACCAAAAAACCAACTGCTATAGTTACATATTAGTACTCTTAAACTAAACCTAAATATCTGCAGTCCTTCTCTTAATCTTGATAGACCTATATATAATCTCAGTTCCAAATAACATAGGTTTACACATTGACATGCCATGCCGATGGATTGGTAAAAAGGACAAAGGTTTTGCCTAAGATAAATTTTTTTTAAGAATAACAAAGATGTGCAGCTGTCAATTGAGGGCTTAATTAATTTATGCACAAGTCCTGTATGTATAAGAGACAATTGTATCTTTATCCTTTGGTCAAGTGAATGAAAACATTTTACTCAGTATAAACAGCACTGGTACTTTTATTGTTGGCAACCCAATTAGAAGAATCCAGAGACGGTAAACAAGTTTCATAAACATACAGGAAGCTAGTGAGAAGAAATGTATATTCTTATAAAAACAAGCAAATTAAATTCATTTGAGAAAGCTACTTAGGAAATAGTATTTTACCAAGAGACTGCACGCTGAAGCAATGCTGATGGTGGAGAAACGGCCAAGATGAGAATCTGTGATGGGGGCCCACAAAATGGCCACGATACCAGTAGCAGCATTCCAGTAGAATACAATATTTTCGGCTTTTGCAGCAGTCATATGATAATCCATCATTAAGTAAATTACCATATTGTACAGCAAACCGTTAGTTGCTGCCGTTTGCAATGCTTCATTAACTGCAATTTCACAAGTTAATACATCAAAATCAAGATTCCAAAATGATCTCAATGTATAGTTTGTACGTACCAAGTATCACTATTACGGTGATAATGCCCCCCATTCCTTGTCTGGGGCTTTCCTCGTTTCTTGAGGATTCCCTATGATCAGAGGCAGGGTCAGAAATATATTTTAAAGGATAAAACAAAATTTTGACTAATAAATAGTGCATTTTGTGCATCAATTGAAAAGTTCTTGAAGGATAAAAATGAAAAACCAAAAAATATTATTATAAAAGAAAGCAGAAGGTTATTATTATTTTTGGTTGTTGAAGTAAAAGGATATATTTTCCCTTCTCATTTTTCTTTCACTGTTCGTTGGTGTCAGTTTGGTATCTAAAAGATGATATATAAATGGAAAATAAATGCAGGAAATGAAACAAAAGCATAAAGAGCAACCTGTTCGCTCTTAGTCTCCTGTAGTTGAACATCTTGCCTTTCGAAGTCGTTGAGCAGCAGTAGAACGTCCTAGCTTCTTGCTCTCCCTGTTCTCTCTCTCTCTTGATATGTTGTTTTTTGCATTCTCTTCCTTGCTGCCCCATTTCCAATTTATATCCTTTCTCTTGATCTATTCCTAATTTAATCTCCTAACTTTTCTCCGGTTCGTTTAATCTCCTACCTTTTTCCTGACTGACCTATTCCTATTAATCTCCTAACTTTTCTCCTTACCTCAACATAATGGTAAATTGCAATTGAAGTAGTCAGTTTTATGTTCTATCACATCCTATAATTGCGGTACAGAAAATTTGTTATAGATTCGCCGCAATAATAACCGTGTTACATACGTCTTAAGTTAATACTAGGTCTTAAGCTGCACAGAGTGCGGTTTGTCTACATTTTAAAAAAAAATGTTATTAATTATAAATTTTTATAATAATAATTAACTATAAATATATTTTAAAAAGGTGTGAAGGGTAGATATAAAAATAGAAGATTTAAGCATATGATGAATCTAATCAATTTAATTTTAAAATAAAAATAAATTTTCATAATTTTCCTATCTATTTTTTCTCTCTATATTACCCCTTCTATCTTAAAATAACTATCATTTTAAAATAAATATTCAAAACTCAAAACTTAATTAATTTATAAGATTACTTAATTTTATCTTTAAAAACCAAAATAAAAAATTTAAAATCACAATCATTATAAACAGAGCCTAAGATAATTTAATTTAAAAAGAATTCAAATTATTAATTAAATAATAAAATTCAACTGATATAAAATTAAGTTTGAATTAATTCGTCATTACCTAAAAAAATTAATATATTAAGGCAAGTTCCCTTATTAGTCCCAAAGTAATAAACCTAGAGGACGACCTCAATATTAACAGAAATTACACTGTAACTTCTTTTTTGTTGGCAAATTATATGATAGCTAATAGCCAAAAAATAATAAAATTAGCTATTACATAAGAAGCAATCAGGTATTGAAGAGAATGGAGAATGCAGAAAAAATGAGAGAACGAGGCAGCGGACGACTGAGACCATGGGACAGGCACAGAGCACAGAGCGAGGGTCGAAGAAGCACCAGAAGGTATAACGGAGGAGCTAGCTGGAATAAAGGCCGTCAGAGACAAGGGTATGAAGGTGGTTACGATCGAGTCCTTTACAACCAAGCAACAGTGTTCTTCTTCACCAACTTTCCAGATGGCTGGACCTATGAACAAATGTGGAGGACCTTCCTTAAGTTCAGACGTGTATTTGCCATATACATCCCCCAGAGAAAGAACAAGGAAGGGAGCAGGTTTGGGTTTGTGCGCTTCCTGGACGTCAAGGATGAGAGGAGCCTGGGAGACAGTGGATTGGCAACCAAAAGCTCAAAATCCACCCTCCTCGTTTTAATACTGAAACAAAACCGGGAAGCCCCAAACACCATACAAACACTGCAGGGGGCCCAAAACCCAGCTACGCGGAGGTGGTAAAAGGCTTTGGAAGTAGAGGTGACAAATGGGCAGCCAATAGAGGTATCAAACCTGCCCAACCCGGCATCACAAGCAACAGTGGCAAAACAGAACAAAAATGGGTAGAGAAGCGGAGGGAATTGCATTGGACTAGACTTGAGTTTAACCCGAAGTATGAAGACTGGGAATGGCTTGAGGGATGCTTTGTTGGAATAGCCAGATCAGTGGGGATTGTGCCCATACTTCAAGAAAGACTATACATGGAGGGGCTTTTCTCAATCAAGCTTCGTGCAATGGGTGGGAAACTTGTCCTTATGGACTGTGATGATAAAGAGGAATTAAAAGAACTGGTTGAGTGAGCAAAAGATTGGCTGGGGCAGTGGTTTGTCAATATTAAACGTTGGACCCCCCAGATGGTTGCCACACAGAGATTTGTTTGGCTAAAGTGTTATGGAGTCCCTCTTCATGCATGGGTCCTGAATTTTTCATCTCAATCGCAAATCTATGGGGGAATTTTATCACCCCAGACAACAACACTAGCTCTAAAAAGAGGTTTGATGTTGCAAGACTTTTGATCTCTACATCAAAAAGAGGCCTAATCTCTAAAACCCTCATATACAAGATTAATGGCCACATGTACTATATAAAGTGCAAAGAGGAGGAGACAACAAATGGTAGTTTCTCTTTAAAATCCGACTTCCAGCCAGTTTTCCCATTAAACTCTGAGGAAGATTGCAGTGAATCTTGTTCCTCCGATTAGCCGTCAGAAGACACTCAAAGATCTGGCCAGAATGGAGTCTTGCATGGCGGTGACTCTAACCCGGCGTCCGGTGGAGAAGACGATGGTGATGTGGCACTAACGGACAGCCAGGCAGTGGGAGAGTCATCTAGTGTGAGGATTTTGAAGGATCTTTCAGACTGGAACAGTGCAAATAATAAATTCAACCGGCAGGAAGGAACGGCTATTTTTTTTGGTACAACTGAGGGAAACTAACTAATTAGCAGCACAAATAAGATACGCCTAAATGGTCCCCTTCAAGGAAAGCATTAAGGCCAGGCGGTGGAAAATAAAAAATGGTGGTTCCTACTGGTAAACTACGCCCAATTCCTGCAAGGAAATCAGCAGCAAAATTACCCTCTTGAGGTGTGTGTTGAATGACAATTGAAGTGAAGTCATTACTTAACCGGCAAATGTCAGCTACTAGCACAGCTGCTAAGCTGTCGTTGTCCTTGGTGCCTTCAATAACCTGAACTGCAGCAAGGGAGTCCATTTCTATAACTAGGTGACTAACTTTTAAGGCTTTACACAAGATCAAACCTTCTCGACATCCCCATAACTCAGCTAGGAAAATGGAAGCCTGTCCAATGTTCACAGAAGAGCCTTTTATAGAAGCACCTGTTGTATCCCCAAGAACTCCCCTAGCACTTGCCAACCCAGAAACTTGCTCTCTAGAGCCATCTGTATTTAATTTGCAAAAAGGTGAGTCAGGCGGTTGCCAACTTATCCCCCTTAGAGCCCTATCCTTATTGAAGATGTTACAAGCCATAGCCTTAACAGTGTCCAACGAATAATTATTAATGAGACTGCAAAGCATGGCTGCTGACAGTTCCTCCCCCTTAAAAATCAAACGATTCCTACACTTCCTAAGTTGCCAAATTGTGGAGAGAAAAAGTACATCATGGGACATATTTCCGTGCAGCACTTGAGAAATATTTCTAGCATTACATTCAAGCCAGTGCTGCAAAGGTAAATGAAAGAAGTCCAGACCACCCAAGCCAATAGTATTCCAAACCTGCACTGCAGAAGGGCAATCTCTCAGGAGATGCAAAGTAGTCTCAGGTATACCAAAGCAACGAGGACAACTAGAAGATGAGGCCATATGTCTCTCATATCTAACTGCATTCGTGAGAACTCTGTTTCGTAACAGCAACCAAATAAATAACCTAATTCTCTCAGCACACCTCAATCGCCATACCCATTTCCAATTTTGTTCTTGCAATGGAATTGAAGCTCTAAGTGTGAGAATTTGGTGGAAGGCGGTTTTGGCAGAAAACATTCCATCATTTGAATATTTCCAGATTAGTTTGTCCTGAATGCAGGCGGTAGAAGAAAGTGGAATCGATAGAATTTCTTGCACCTGTGCTTGTGGTACTAGACCTTCCAGAAACTCTTGATTCCAAGTCATTGAGTGTGTAATGGCATTAGACACGGGCATTGTTAAAGATTCAGGAGGAACAGGTTCACTGATAAATTTACTTAAAGGAGAGCTACTAGTCTAGTGATCAGTCCAAAAATTTATAGAACTCCCTGTTCCAACTCGCCATTGCGCGCCCGATTGCAGCACATCTCTACATTTTAGAATGCTTTTCCAGACAGCAGAAGCTCCCATACCAGTTTTGGCCTCAAAAAAGGTAGTGGCAAGGAGGTATTTGTGTCTCATGGCTTTGCACCAAGGAGTATCATCACCAGAGAGGAGCCGCCATCCGAGTTTTGTTACCAAGGCCCTGTTATTGTCCCATGCCGCCCGTAATCCAAGGCCTCCTTGTTCCCGGGTTCGACATACGATATCCCAGCTAGCAAGGTGGGGTCTTGAGGCTCCTGACTCTGAGCCCCATAAAAAGTTTCTGTTAAGTTTATCAATGGAGTTACATATACTTTGAGTGACTCAGGAGCCGATACCGAAACACCGATTTCGGTGAGATTTAGAATCCACTACGATGAATTCGATTGCCTAGAACACCACTTAGGTTGGCAAGACCTAAGATATAGAGATAAATTAAGAGAAATCCACTCTCAAAAACTCACTCAAACAGAGGAGAATTGAAACTTGATTAAACTGATAAAATTTATGCATACAATAGAGGGAACATGGCTATTTGTAGGCAAAATCCAACTAAGGTAATAAATGAAAGGAAAATATAGTTGGGCGTTAGCCATTTTTGTGGACTTGGGTAGCCATTTTTGCGGACTTGGGTAGCCATTTTTGCTAACTTAATTGTGTGACCATTTGACAAATTGCACTGGCCTATTGTAGTTGGTGGTGCTACAGAGTAGCTTCTACATGCTTGCTACATTTTCCCCTGGTTGGAGAAAACTCATCCTTGCGTTTGAGATCAATCCTCATAATCTTCATAGTAAGGAGATAGGTCAACAATATAGAAAATTACAGAGACTCCATAGTCACTTGGGAGTTTGATCTTGTAGGAGGCATGTTGAGATTAGGTTGGTAAGGGACCTTTTGGAAAGTTAGTTTTGGGAAGTGAGGGTGATTTAAAATTTATAAAAATATGGGAATCAAGTTGTAAGGTCAAAATAAGTTAAGGGACTTGATGATGTGACAAACAGAGTGCAAGTGTTTTGCTGACAGGGCAGGTGACGTGGCTGATGTGCATGAGTGACGTGGCAAATAGATGATGTAGTAGTGATTGGATGATGATGTGGCATTGATGTGGTGATGATGTGGCATGATGAGGTGGTAGATGACATGGCAGTGTGAAGGTTGAAGATGACTGGCGTGTGATGTTCATGTGATTTGCAGAGTTGCGAGTGGCTGGAGCGTGAGATGACGGAAATGGAGCATGGAGGCGGATGGAACACTTTCCGGAGACGAGATATTCACCAGAACGCTCAGAATGATGTGTAGACTTCAAATATGTTGTCTTTGATATCAAATGACTCAGGAGCAGATATCAAAACATTGATTTTGGCGAGATTTAAAATCCCACTATGATGAATTCAATTGCTTGGAACACTACTTAGGTTGGCAAGACCTAAGATACAGAGATAAATTGAGAGAAATTCACTTTCAAAAACTCACTCAAATAGAGGAGAATTGAAACTTGATTAAATTGATAAAACTTATGCATACAACGGAGGTAACATGGCTATTTATAGGCAAAATCCAACTAAGGTAATAAATGAAAGCAAAATATAGTTAGGAGTTAGCCATTTTTGTGGACTTGGGTAGCCATTTTTGCTGACTTAATTGTGTGACCATTTGACAAATTGCATCGGCCTATTGTAGTTGGTGGTGCTGCAGAGTAGCTTCTGCATGCTTGCTGCATTTTTCTTGGTGCATTGAGGTAGTAACACAGTCTACATGGTATGGGTAGGTATAGAAGAGGTAACAGATTGAATCAAGATCCTCCTTCTTACTAAAGTCAATAAGTTTTGTTTCCAATTGGCCAACTTAAGTTGCATTTTCTCAATTATATATTTATAGGACAATGCTGAGTCTTTACCGTGATTGATAGGGACCCCCAAATATGTGCCCAAATTCGTTGTAAGAGGTATGCCACAAGACCGGCTCATGGAGTTAGCTACCGTGGCTTGAATATTCGGTGAGACAAAAAGCTTTGATTTCTAGAGATTAATTTCAAGCCCTAAACATTTTGTAAACTCTTGTAAACATTCCATTACCATCGAGAGCTGAGACAGAGATGCTTCACAAAACAACATAAAGTCATCTACAAAGAATAAATGAGATAAAGCAAGACCTCCTCTAGAAACTTTTATCGGCTTCTAGGTCTTAGAACAAAGTCTGCTTAGTATCATATGTGATAGCTTCTCCATAACCATAATGAAGAGGTAAGGGGAAAGTGGGTCACCTTGTCGTAAACCCCTTCTTTGGATGAAAATATGGCAATGGTACTCCATTCCAAAGGATAGATAAATTCACCGAGGTTACATAGAACATTATGAGCTTCACTAGCGCTCAAGGAATGTTGAAATCATGCAAGACTTGCTTTCTAGAAAACTCCAGTTTACACTATCAAATGCTTTGTGTAAATCTATTTTCAGTACCAAGGCTCCTTGGTTTCCTTTCATCTTTCCTATACTATGAATTGCTTCTTAAGTAAGGACAATATTGTTAGTGGTGCTGCGTCTTGCTAGAAAACTGCTCTGAAATGGTTCGATAAGCTCTTGTAAGAATGGTCTCAACTTATTAACAATTACTTTGGACAATATCTTATACGCAACATTCAACAACGTGATTGGTCTGAACTTTTGAATAACATTAGGAGCGTCTCCTTTAGGTATTAAGGTTATGTGCGCTTGTAGTAGGGATGGCTCAAATTCTTCATTAGCTAAAGCTGAATTCACAAAGTTGAGAAGAGTACCTAATATGACTTCCCAGTGCTTCTGCAGAAAAATAGCTTGCAAACCACCTATCCCTAGACTTTTCAGACCTTTCATTGAGAATAGAGCTTGTTTTACTTCATCCAAACTAGCTAGCTTTAGAAGGCATTCGTGAGCAGTAGAATCTATACTGGGCTGAAATTTTGAATAAATATCTCTCATGGTGTTGGTGCTCCTTGCCTTAAAGAGGTCTTCAAAAAAGTTTCTGACATGAGTCTTGAGTTGTACCTCATCGACCACCTAGTTGTCATCTATTTTCAGTGATACTATGCGATTCCTACTTCTTTGTATGATGGTTGAAGCATGGTAGAAAGAAGTATTTTGATCACCAAAATGAATCCGCTCCACCCTAGATTTTTGGCACTAGAAAATCTCTTCTGCATGAAGGACTTTATGGTATTCCTCAAAAAGCTCACCTTCAAGGTTTTGTAAACAAGGAGATGAATGATAATTCCTGGAGTTTTGTATGCCCGTTAGTCTTGCTTTAAGAAGTCTTTTTTGTTTAAAAATATCTCCAAAGCTCTCCTTCCCCCATGCAAAGCAAGCCTTGTTTCTTCGATCGCTTGGACTAAAGAACCTTGTTGAGATTTCCAAGCATTAGAAAAGACTGAACTAAACTCCTCCCTTGTTAACCACGCAGCTTCAAGTCTTGGAGGGCCATGTGAGCACTGTAAAATAGTCTCAGGCTGCACTGTTAACATTATGGGGTGGTGATCGCTACAAAGCCTTGGTAAACTCCTTAGCTTCACTGCTGGAAAAGTCTTTAAAGCATTAAGGTTCATGACTACTCTATCTAATAATTCCCATAGGATCGTCCTACCATTTTGCCTCCTAACCCATGTAAAATGATAGCCCAACACGTTTGTGGATAAGAGATTGCAATAATTTAATCTGCTTCTAAACAGTTGAGATCTATTAAAAACATCTGTTGATCAGGGGGAGACTTCGTCTGTAGAAAGTACATCGTTAAAATCACCCATCACAAACCAACTGCTTGAAATGGTTGCCACCTTGGCCCTTATATGCTCCCAAAATGCTGCTTTTTGTGAACAATGTGGTTGAATGTATGCTAGTGTAAGGAACCATTGTTCTACACCATTGCGAATAAGGCAATGGATGTCTTGAGATGAAGAGGATACAACTTCAAGCACAACTGTCTTCAATTTCCAGAATAAGAACAATCCACCTGCTCTTCCTTGAGAAAGAACCTGGTAATGCTTATCATAATCAAAACGGGACATAAAAGCCATGGAATCAATTTGAGAATCAGCCTTTGGTATGGATTAGCTAGCGATTATGAGATAATCAAAGAAAGAACAAGCTGAGGCAAAAGGAAGAAACAAAGACGGAAGAAGAAGAGTAAGAGTACTAGATCATGCCTAGTAGTGTACAAGGATTCCAATCCAACAAAGATTGCTGGGGTTTAGAAGATGGGTCGTGGACGGTCAAGTTTATTGAAGGAATTGGGAGAAAGAGTTCCTAAATTCTACCCAAGGGACACCAACTTTGTAGCGGGGGCATCAATTACAGATAGTGCTATTGAAAACTGCAACAAAGGGTTTCATAACAAGGATAGAGCCATTTCAACTTTAGATGCATGGAATCTCATTGAGGAAATGGGTTTAGGTGCTGATGGGAATGAAGATGAAATCATCAAGAAGATTGAGTTGATGGAGTAGAGGAACATTAATGCTAAAAAACAAGCATTGGAAAGGAATATGTTGAATGGTGGTGAGGTATGTCTATTTCATCCATGATTATTCTCTCTTATAATGTGTGAGGCTTGGGTGGTTTTGGTAAGAAAAGAGAAGTAAAGGAATGGGTAGCAAAGGAAAAAGTGTAGTTTTTAGCTTTGCAAGAGTAAAAAATAAACAAGTTAGTCATCATACTTGTAAAGCTTTATGAGGTATTGATGATTTTGAATTTGTGGCTACACCCTCTATTGGTTGTTTGGGTGGATTGATTGTGTTTGGGATAATAATGTTTTCAAGCTTAAATAGAATTTTTAGTGGAGAACACTACTTGGGTTTGTTTGGATTATGGGGAACGAACAAGATGCCAGTGTACCTTATAAATGCCTATGGTCCTTGTGATTTGGCAGGAAGGAGACAGTTGTGGATTGAGCTAAAAACTCTAGTTACAAGTATGAAGGGTAACTGGTGTGTGATGGGTGATTTTAAGACCACAAAGAATAGTCAAGAAAGAATTGGACGCACTAGTGTGTCAAAAAGCATGTGGGATTTTCCAAACTTTATCCATGAATCTTGGTTGGTGGATATCCCTCTAATTGGAATGAAGTACACATGGTACCACTCAAGTGGCAACTCTATGAGTTGGTTAAATCAATTCTTGATGACAGAGGAATGGTTAACAAACTGGAGTGAAACAAGGCAGTGGGGTTTAAGGAGATCACTCTTTGATCATTGTCTAGTGCTATTGAGAGATTCAAAGATTAATTGGGGAACTAAGCCTTTTAGATGCTTCAATAGTTGGATTGACAAGCCAGGCTTCCATGAAATGGTAATAGATACATGGAGAACAGTTGATGTTCAAGGATGGAAAGGCTATTGTCTTAAGGAGAAAATCAAGCTTGTAAAGAAAAAGCTCAAGGAATGGAGTGAGAATGATCATACAAGGTTAGATCAGAGCATTGCTGAAAGCAAAGATAAAATTGAAGCACTTGATTTAAAAGGTGAACAAGGGACTCTTTCCAGGTAGAAAGCAAGTGATAGGAAAATTAATTTTTACAATCTTTGGAGTAACTTGAAGGTCAAGGAAGGGTAGTGGAGACAGAAAGCTAGGAAACAATGGTTGAGAGAAGGAGTTGCAAATTCCAAATTTTACCATAAATGTATTAGCAGCAGACAATGCACGAAAGAGATTGTCAGTATCCAAGTGAATGGCAAAAAGTTAGAAGATGTTGATAAAATAAAAAATGGCATATTAGAGCACTTTGAGAATTTGATTTAAGAAGAAGAATGGAAAAGGTCGAATATGGATGGCATCTCTTTCAAACAAATTTCCCAAGCCTAGAATGATCGACTTGTTATGCCATTTAGTGAAGATGAAATCAAAGCAGTAGTGTGGGACTGTGGGAGTGACAAGGTTCAGGGACTTGATGGTATCAATTTCACTTTCTTCAAGAAAATGTGGAACGAAATAAAGGATGATATAGTGGAATTTGTCCAAGAATTTCACAAGAATGGGAAGTTAGTAAAAGGCTTGAATGTTTCTTTCTTAACATTGATTCCAAAAGTGAAGAACCCACAAAGAATCGAGGAGTTTAGGCCTATTTCCTTCATTGGCTCCCTGTACAAAATTGTTGCTAAATTGCTTGCCAACAGGCTAAGCTCAGTAATAGTTGACATTATTAGGGAACATTAATTGGCCTTCATTGAAGGTAGGTAGTTATGTGAAAGAGTTGTCACAGTAAAAGAAATTATTGATGAAGCTAAGAGGAAAAAAAAGAAGAGCTTTGTCTTCAAAGTAGATTTTGACAAGTCTTTTGACAAGGTGAATTGGAACTTCCTTGATTATATGATGATGAGACTTGGGTTTAATGAAATATGGAGAAAATGGATCATGGAGTGTCTTCAAACCAATTTATTGTCAGTGTTGGTTAATGGTAGCCCATCTAAACAGTTTCCTGTCTCAGGGGGTTTAAAGCAAGGAAATCCATTGTCTCCCTTCCTGTTCCTGATCGTCGCAGAAGGATTAAACAAAATCATCAATACTACAATTGATAGGGGATTGTATGAAGGAATAAAAGTGGGGAATTCGGGCATTCAATTCTCACACATCCAATTTGCAGATGACACAATTTTTTTTGGGGAAGCTTATGAAAAAAACATCCAGGTTGTGAAGTGCATTATGAGAGCTTTTGAGCTTGCTTTAGGTCTAAAAATTAATTATCATAAAAGTCAACTCATGGGTATCCATATTGAGGCAGAATGGATGTAGAAAATGGCTTGGATACTTAATTGTAAAATTGGAGTTTTGCCCTTTAAATACTTGGGAGTCCCAGTGGGTGGCAATCATAGAAGACTTAGTATGTGGTTACCATTAATTGAATCTTTTTAGAAGAAGTTGTTGAACTGGAAGGCTTGTTGGTTATCCTTCGGAGGTAGAATTACCCTCCTCAACTATATGCTCATGTCGCTCCTAGTCCTCTTCTTGTTCATCTATCTTGCTCCCAAAGGTGTTGTCAAAGCTCTTGATAAAATTAGGAATAAATTTTTATGGGAAGGATGTGGGGAGGATGTGAGGAGACTAGGAAAGTGCACTGGGTTAATTGGAAACAGTTTGTATTAGTAAAAGAGATGGAGGGCTTGGGGTTAAGGATCTTAGACTCTTTAATCTAGCAGTACTTGGAAAGTGGTGGGGTAGATTGGCCAAGGGTTCTCTTGGGTTGTTTTTGAGCTTGATTAAAGAAGAATATGGGTATGAGGGTAATAATTGGTGTAACTGGGTAA